GCTGGAAAAAGGGGGAGAAATTATCATGAATAAGAGTCATCAGGAAGTTTTTATTAGGTGAGATTTGACTTAGTAAAGGGTATAGTATGGATAAATAGAATATGTGGAGGCAGGATTGAACAGTATAGACTGCAGCGGTTCTCAACCTGTGGGTTGAGAACAATGAAAATACATCCTGCCTATCAAATATTTACATTATGATTCATAACAGCAGCAACATTACAGTTATGAAGTAGCAACGAAAATAATTTTATGGTTGGGTCACAACATGAGGAGCTGTATTAAAGGGTCGCGGCATCAGGAAGGTTGAGAGCCACTGGTTCAGGCCTTTGTCACTGGGATCCTGCTGCTGTGTCCGGTGCACCTGTTCGACTTGACCTTCACCTGGTGGTTTTCATTCCCAGCCTCTGCTGCCTGGTTTCATCCATCACACCATTTCCCACTCGGTCCATCGAAGCAGGGTTCGAGTTGTTTCCCAAAGGGCCTCTGGACTCCATCAAACTCAGGGTTGCGCTGGGCACAGCTCTAAGTGCCTGACAGTGAGGGGGCTGCCCAGACACCTTCCGGGAAGGTGTTGCTTAATGCCACTGGCTGACCCGGGGCTGGGTTCTGGCTGGCCATGTAGCTTATTAAGAGAGACGCATGCTTAGGAAACAGAGAGGAGCAATTATGTAAGTACACGCGGGGAAATAAACTTAGCTCACAGACATCCTGCTCTGCCGATGGCTTTCGCCCTTTTTCTGTAGGGCCTCTTCCAAGTGAAACCATACAGAGCCCCCAAGTCCGAAACAGGGGGCACCTGGGTGTGGGAGCAGACTTTCCGGCTCTCCCAGCCTCCCCCTCTGTGGGGGGCTAGAATTCTCGGAGCGGAACTCAGAAGTCGCCACCCTGTGCCGGAGAGAAGAGATGCGGGAGTGAAGGCCTGCATTGCCTGTTGTCACCTCCTCCAGAGCCCAGCCAGGTAGCCCCTGGCCGCCGGGGTCAGCCTCCCCGCCACCGCTCTTAGATGCAAAGCAAACGTGTGCAGAGGCCTCAGCCCCTCCTGGATGTAATCTGCCCTCCCCTGCCCCGCAGCCCAGGCTTTACCGGCCACCAGTCATCTTTCTGATTCACGTCTGACTGTCACTCCTGACATTCCCTCTCTGGCTCACCATCCCCCATAGGATGCAGGCCTTGGGCACACGGCTTTCCTCCGCCTGTGCCTGCACCCCTGTGGGCCCTCTCTACTCGCCAGAAACACCTGCTGGTGGGTTCTCCCACCCGCTTCAGCACCCCGCCTCCCAGCCACCCACACACTCCTGCTTCAGCCCTGGATTCAGGCTACAGGTCCCCCATAAAACCTCCCGTTTCCTGCTTCTCAGTCCCACCCCCACCTCCCCTCCCTGCTCCAGAGTTGGGGTTCACCTTCCTCTGGTGCACCTTGACCTTTGGTCTACTTGTCTCCTCCACTTGGGTGGAAACTCCTTTGGGGAGAGGTGTTGGGGGGAGAGGCCTTCACGTTCCCACTCCCCCAGCAGGTGCCTGACCCGAAAGGCGGTCACTTTTGAATGAATGAATCCTCGTTACCAATAAATGCGTCCGTCCCGATGCAGATGCCAGTTAGTAAATGCATCGGCTCCAAGTTAATAAAAGCGGAAATGGTTGCCCAAAGCCTCGAGCCTTTCAGTACATCTAGCGAAGCCAGTGGCCGGGTTTAAAGGCAGGTTCTGTGTGTCGAGGCCCCTGGAGCCCCCGCTGTTCTGTGGGAGTCTTTCCACCCGACTGGATGGCCTTGCACTTGTGTGAACAGTGCCAGGGTTTGGCGTTGGCTGTGCTCACAACACGGGGGCAGGTGTGGTCATGGGAGGGGCGTGTGTGTGAGGTGTGCGTGTGACAGATGGCTGGCTCTTTGAATGATCTGCTCACTTGTGAACATTGTCTTTCTGCAGGTGATGTGTCACCAATCAGTATGTCTCCCATCAGTCAATCTCAGTTCATTCCACTCGGGGAAATCCTTTGCTTGGCCATCTCAGCAATGAACTCGGCACGAAAACCCGTCACCCAAGAGGCCCTGATGGAGCACCTGACCACGTGCTTCCCAGGTAATGGGAGAAGCAGGGAGCCCTTGCCATGCGGACGTGGGCTCTGGCTGCGCCCAGACTGCGCATGGACGCATCCTCTCGTGTTTGAATCTAACGGGGAAACATCGTTGCCAAAAGTGACCAGGAACTTTTCTTAGTTAAGTAATTAAACATTAAGGCACCTGGGTTACTTCCAAAATAATTTGCCTTCTTCAGCTGTAATACTTTTTTAATTGGCACTGAGCAAAAGAAATTAAATTGGGATCCGTGAGGAATTCTGGCAAAAACTCCCGAGATTCCATTCAACCTTTGCAACACAACGTTCTTTAAATACATGAACATCATGAGTCCTGGGAGCAAGTCAGAAACAACTGAAAATTTTAGTCCTAAGGGATTAAACTACAGAGAGAGAGAGAGAGAGAGAGAGAGAGAGAGAGAGGAGAGAGGTCACGATAAATGTATCTGGCATGTTTACGTCATGGCCTGATGAGTTTTAAGAACATGGCATTTGGTAAATTAGTTAAGATCTCATTATGACAGAAAAAATGAAATGTTTTCTCTTAACTGTTATAATAAGACAGTGACCCAGCTGCTGTGTGGGTGGCCTTGGCTGCCCTCGGTGCTGGAAGCTCTTAGGAATGGGGAGGAGCTAAAGACTGTGGGCCCATCTCCAGGAGGCAGCTCACTTCTCAGCCCCACTATGTTATCCCCTCTCCTCCAAAAAGTAAGGCCCTGCCAGAGTTGCCAAACCTTCTGCTTCTTCAAGAGAATCTGGAAATGCAGTTTTATGGGGCGTCTCTACGTCATCCTAAGTATTGGCAGTCGTGTGCGTGTAGATTTTACCCCGGGTGTGCAGATGACACGCAAGCCAAGGAAAACACATTATTGGGCCATCAGTTTGTCAGCTTGGCTTGGATGCAACCACTACCTCGATGGAAATAGAGCTTACTGACGTTAAGCCCAGACGCTTCACATCTTTTTCATTCAACTGACCAGAGACCTTAGTAAATACAGGGTGTCCCCCAAAAACGTATACACACTTTGAATGCTCATAAAGTCAGTGTTTATTAACATGCAGTTCGTTTTCAACACTTAAAAGAACCTACAGAAATGAATAATTTTTTTGTCAGTGCCTGTTTTCAAACTCATGACCGTCTGGTCCAGGCACTGCTGATAACTCGAAGCAATGGAATCGCAATCATCAACAATCACTTCGCTCGATACTTGTGTGCCCTCAATTCGTTGACTGTGCTGGTTTTGTACCATAAACTGTATCTTTTATGTGTCCCCATAAAAAAAAAAGTCTACTGGCACTTTAGGATAAATTTTCTTTGTTCAAAGCTTAGTCTGCCTTCACCCATTATTTCAAATCAGTTACACCCGAAAAGGAGTATAAAATAAGTGAGTTATCAGCTGTTAAAGTGTGTATACATTTTTTGGGACACCCTATATAAGCTGTTGGTTGTATCAGTTAGTGTTTGCTGCACAAAAGCTGGGTAACAAACAATCACGGAACATCAGTGGCATTCAGCAATAAACATTTATTTAGCTCCAGGAGTCAGCTGATTCAGACGGTGGCTCCTCTCCACCTGCACCCCATCCTCTCAAGCAGAGTCCTGTGCTGTCTATTGGGGTGGCAGATGCACAAGAAAGCCCAGCTATTTGCACAAGGGTTCGTCAGCCCTTTGGTGATGTCACACCCAGTCACACGTCTTTGGCCAAACTCACAGTCCAGGCGTGGGAAGTGCACATCACCATGGGGAGGGCAGAAAGACTGCTCCCAAATGAAGCAGGGATTGACCAGATTGAGTCTCCCCACTTTTCCTGGTGATGTGTTCCCCTCTGCCAGTTTCTCAGTTAATGTGTGTGAAATGATGTGTAATGTTTAAAAACTCTAACACAGTGGTTCTCAACCTTCCTAATGCCGCGACCCTTTCATACAGTTCCTCATGTTGTGGTGACCCCCAACCATAAAATTATTTCCGTTGCTACTTCATAACTGTAATGTGGCTACTGTTATGAATCGTAATGTAAATACCTGATATGCAGGATGTATTTTCATTGTTACAAATTGAACATAATTAAAGCAGAGTGATTAGTCACAAAAACAACATGTAATTATATATGTGTTTTCCGATGGTCTTAGGCGACCCCTGTGAAAGTGTCATTCAACCCCCAAAGGGGTCGCAACCCACAGGTTGAGAACCGCTGCTCTAACAGGATCCCACCCTGGGAACCTATGAATTGTCTTAAGTTTTATACCATTTTCCCATCTCTGATTGTCTCTCCTTGTTAACTTCCAGGCAAACCCGTTTCCTTTCAGTAGAAAGGTGAGAGAGGGGTTAGGTTGGGTGGAAAGCTGGTCTTTGTTGTTTGAGCCTCAAAACCTGATTTCCTGATGAACTTTGGGGGTAGAATCAGAAAGTGATGGGACAAGTAGGTGTTAACAGTATCCACGCAAACATACCCCTTTCAGGTGACAGGTGACCCCCATGGATTTCTAGTGGCTTTCAAAGACAATTCAGAAGGTCAGTCATTATACTTGGGGGGCTTACAAATAAGATTATCATCATCAATACCAGTGGCTTTCAGGGAAGGCTTATGAAATGCACAGGTAGAAGGCTGGGAAATGACTGAACAGGGAATGTTTCCAGGGTTATTGGTTTTTTTTAATTAAACATTTTTTGATCGATATACTTCCAGATACAAAACATAAACACTTTAGATGTAAAGTCTCTATGGAAACGCTTTCTTATTCCTCCACTTGGGAAGTCAGGGAGCTTATTCCTAATGGTAAGGCATGATTACAGTGTACTCACGATTCTGTATAGTTTTGTAAGGGCTCTGAGATCATCACTTGGAAGGCCTCCAATCAGCAAATTCTAGAATACAGGTAAATTTTTGTTTTGTAGTAATAGCCATTTTTATGAATTGGGCCTTTTCCTGTAATATAACAGCATAGTAAACTCAATCGTGAAGCCTTAAAAATGAAACTTACCTTTTTTTTTGGAAAAACTTATTTGTATTTTAATTTTTTGTTTTCATTGATGAGAGAGAGAGAGAGAGATTTGCTGTTTCAGTTACTTACGAATTCATTGGTTGATGCTGTATGTGTCCTGACCGGTGATTGAACCCACAACCTTGGAGTATTGGGATGATGCTCTAACCACCTGAGCTACCCAGCCAGGGCTGCTGCTTTCTGTTTTAGCATTGACTGCACGGGTGCTGCTGTGTGAGATACCCTGTTTTACATGTGGTTTTGTCCTCTGGGTGGCCGTGCCGCGCAGCTCCTGGGGTGTCATTCATGAGACGGCAGTGTAAGCGGGGCCTATTCTCAGGAGCTGAATTCTGCGTGAAGCTGTTCTGACTGTTAATGGGGCGTAGCAGCTCTTTATAAGTTGCTTTCTCTTGTGTACAGGCAGTTTTTGTTGTATGCAGGCGCTCAAGAATTGCATAGATAAGGTTTGGGTTCTATCACTAATTCACCTGGAATTTGTTTTTATTTTGTGCAGAAACTCTCATGAAATTTAGGGGGAACATTGCAATTATCCTGGCCTTGGAATCATTTGCGTGAAAACCAGTGTGCGTTTCCCAAGAGTAGAGCCTAGATTGAAAGTAAGCATGCGGGCCCACAATGAGACAATTCTATGAAATAATACCTTCTTCGTAGGCACTGTTACCTTGTCCACCTGGTCACTAAGGGTGCCTCCTGAAGGCGGTAACGAAACAGGTGGGGTGCTACATCTCATTCATGGCCTCTCTCCCCTTGAGAACCCCTGGCCGTCACCTAATGCTTTCGTTCCCCACCTTCACCGTTTGGAAGGATTGGGGGAACTTACCCTTCTCAGCTTACCCAGCTGTTCTGGGTTGCTATACAGTGTCCTTTGAAGGTAATCTAGGTTTCCATGGGTCTTGACCCAAAGTTGAGACTACTCATAGCTAATATGTATCGAGAACTCACTATATGTCGGGCACTGTTGTACGTACATTACACTCATTTAAACTCACAACTCTGTGAGCATAGGTGCTATTACGATCCACATTTTGATGGTAGTAAATAGAGGTTAAGAAGATACCAATCGTATTGGTTTTGTAGAGCAGCTACAACATGGTACAGGTGGCTTAAACGACAGAAATGTATTGTCTTACAGTTCTGGAGGCTCGGAGTCCGACACCAGGTGTCGGTAGAGTTGGCTGGTTCCCTCTGAAGCTGAGGGACAAATCTGCTCCAGGACACTGTCCTTGGCTGGCAGACAGCTGTCTTCTCCTGGGGTCTCCTGCCACTGTCTTCTCTATGCATGTCTCTATGTCCAAACTTCTCCTCTAAAGATGGCACCTGGCATATTGGATGAGGGCCCACCTAGTGACCTCATGTTAACCTGATTATCTCTAGAAAGACACCCATCTGCAAGTAAGGTCGCATTCTGAGGTGCTGGGAGGTAGGCAGAGGGTGGGGGGCATGATTCAACCAGTCACATCAATGAACAGCGATGGATTTCTAGCCAGCAGCCTGGCCCTGGAGCCCAAGCATTCTGTCTCCACTGAAATTGCCATTTCCGTGGGTCAGACTCGGTTGAATATCAGCAGTATGATCCAACCTGACCTGCTTCCAGATTACCGTCATGCACCTCATAGGATATTTGGTCAGTGACAGACCGACAGACCGTGTATAGGATGGTGGTCCCATAAGGTTACAATGGAGCTGAATTTCTGTAAGAAATGGAAGGACATGTGGTTCAGTGCCGGGGTCCAGCCCCAGCAGGTCCAGGGGTCCCCAAAGGTGTGGACGGAGTCGGCGAAGAAGGAATGACACGGAGACAGCGTTCAGTTGATCAGCAGCC